AGTGGTGAAAAGGTGGGAAATGGGTGGGCTGAAGGGGAAAGGGCTGGGTGGAGTAGCCAAGGACACATTAACAACCTTATAACTCTCTGTAGGGAGAGGAAATTCCTGGGACAGTTTACCTTGGCAACAGGTTGGAGCAGGGGCAGGTTCTCGACAAGATCCGTCAGGGGACAATCTCCAACTTCCCAGACTCACTTAAAATTGGCCTCCTTGACCTGACCTGACTCGATTTACCTATCTACACTGCCTGCCTGTCTAATACTGGCTTCAAAGAGAATAATTTATCTAGGAAGGTGGGGGAGTGAATGGACCAGGGAGATCTGAAATGATTGCCAGGTAACATTACAAGCCTACTAGAATTCAATGTTCCAGAATCTAAAGAGTGACTAATCATTGAGGGTTTTTCTTGGCCAGACTGTATGAGTAAATACAGGTGAGGAAGAGGCAGAGTTGCAATCTGGTTGTGGTTTTATCAGGTATTAGCAAATGAGCACACACTGAGAAGTTGGAGCATTATGAACAATAGAGCTAGGTTGCTATAACAAAGCAACCCAACATTTACTCTGTGACTTAAAACAGATGTCTTTGTCTACTTCAGCACAATCAGAAGGTAGCACTGCAGATCACTGGGTCTCAGCTTCAAGCAATCATTTACAAACTGAAGGACCTTCCATCTTGTTTCTCTTCCATGCCTAAGGTATTTTGCTCATCTGAATCATGGAAACAAGGTAGCAGCTTGAGGAGGAAGCACTGCCCTCATTTTAAGGGCTAATGGCTTATGTTCCATTAGCAAAGTACATTCTGATTTCCGATGCTACAGTTCAATGTAAGGAAGCCCAGGAATCAGTGTGCAAGTGAGGCTCTACTTCTATCATTTTAAAAGGGGAGAATAGATGATAAAGATGATGATGATGATGATGATGATGATTTTGGTGGAAGTGCTGAGGATCAAACTCAGAACTTCCCATATGTTAGGTAAGTTCTCTACCACTGAGGTGCTTCCCCAGACCAGGAGGATGGATCTTAGCAGACAATTAGAACTCTCTGCAATGGAGTGATTATAACGTAAGAATTTACACGAAGCAATGAAGAATGGGAGGATCTGAGAAGAAGGAGGCATAACCAAAAGGTGGTAGAGTTGTGGATAGCAGAGTATAAGGATGACTAAGGTCAGGATTCTAGAAAGATGCTTGACATTGAGAACATGGAATTATACTCATTGATTACATCAGGATGTAAGATGATCTCATATAAGGAGTGACTCACACAGGATGAAAGGCAAAATTATAGGAGTAAAAGAGGTCAAGGAACCGAGGTAAGACATGTGAAGGCTGAGCCATATGAATGTTGAAATGCTGGGTACTCCTGTCCCAGCTACTAAAATCTTTTAAGAAATGAAGGCAAGTGATAAATGTGGGATAGTAGTTAGCATAATCTGATGATATGAGATTCAAAGCTAGAATATTATTAGTTATCTAATTAGTTATACATGACAGTAGAATGCATTTTGACACATTGTATACAAATAGAGCACAACTTCTTATTCCTCTGCTGTACATGGTGCAGAGTCACACCAATACTGTAATCATGCATGTATGTAGGGTAATAATGTCTGTCTCCTTCTACCATCCTTCCATCCCCACTGCCCCACCCTTCCCCTCATTCCCCCTCACACAATCCAAAGTTCCTTCATTCTTCCTACCCCCACTCCCAAAACCTGCCTTACTGTGGATCAGCATCTACTTATCAGAGAAAACATTTGGCCTTTAGTTTTTTAGGACTGACTTAGTTCACTTAGCATGATATTCTCCAGTTCCGCTCATTTACCAGCAAATACCATAATTTCATTCTTCTTTAAAGCTGAGTAATATTCCATTGTGTATATGTGCCACATTTTCTTTAACCATTCATCTGTTGAGGGGCATCTATATTGGTTCCATAATTTGGCTATTGTGAATTGAGTTGCTATAAATATTGATGCGGCTGCATCATTGTAGTATGCTGACTTTAAGTCCTTTGGGTAAAGACCGAGGAGTGGGATAGCTGGGTCAAATGGTGGTTCCATTTCAAGTTTTTTTTTTTTTAAATAAAGCTCTATCATTTTATTTTTATTTATTTTTTATTTTTTAGTTATAGTTGGACACAAGGCCTTCATTTTATTTATTTTATGTGGTGCAGAAGATTGAACCCAGGGCCGCACATGTGTAAGGCGAGCGCTCTACTGCTGAGCCACAATCCCAGCCCCCCATTTCGTTTTCTGAGGAATCTCCATACTGCTTTCAATAGTGGTTGCACCAATTTGCTGTGTATGAGTGTACCTTTTTCCCACCAGCAATTTTTGAGTGTACCTTTTTCCCCACATCCTCACAAACACTTATTATTGCTTTTATTCTTGATATTTGCCATTCTGACTGGAGTGAGATGAAATTTTAGATTACTTTTGGTTTGCATTTCTCTAATTGCTAGAGATAATGAACATTTTTTTTCATGTTTGTTAATCGATTTTATTTCTTCTTCTGTGAAGTGTCTGTTTAGTTCCTTAACCCACTTATTGATTGGGTTATTTGTTTTGTGTGTGTGTGTGTGTGTGTGTCTGTGTGTGTTTTTAGAGTTCTTTATATATCCTGGAGATTAGTACCCTATATATATAAAAATTTTTTGAGAGGGCATCTTGGTATATTGCTCAGCCTATTCTTCAACCCTCTCCAACTCCTGGGCTCAAGTGATTCTTCTGGCCTCCAAGTAGCTGGGGTTATAGGTCATGCCACCATACTGGCTAAAAGCTGGGAATTTTTAGGGAGGAGAAGTAGTTTGAAACTGGAAATGAAGAGTGAAGGGAATCCTCATTCCATCTCCAGTCTGTTAAGCAGGATGTGAGAGCTAGAGAGAGCTACAGGGGAAGTGGAAATCTCCCAGGGGTGATTCAGGTTTCAGGCCCAGCAAGGCAGGGAAGGGGGCCTTCACAGAGCAGGGTGAGGACTATGCTTCCCACTTTAGGCATTACAGTGAGCACAGAGGGAACATGGTTGGGGAAGAATGGGAGAATGGAAGAGAAGGTGTTAGAGAGTCAGTCAGCTGTGTCGGGGCTGGAGTGAGGGACTTGGAGGGTGCCTGGATGTGCACAGCTGCTTTTAGTGTTGATGGAAACAGGGATAAAGGGATGGTGTGATTAATCATGGTGGATTCAGGGTAGATAAGGTTGACAAGGTTGAGAGTGTTTTGTGGTAGGGAGGAATGAGAGGTCTTTTCAGGAATTCTGAGGCCATTCTGCTCTTTGGCCACTGCAAGGAGAAGCCAGGGAAGGGTGGTTTGAATTACAGCTAGAGTAAGAAAAACAGCTGGAATCTATAAAGGAATTTCCTCTGGAGGAAGGGCAGGGTTCTCCTCAGGCTGATGAGCTACTGATTTTTGTTTTTTTTAAACATTTAGTTTTTCGTTGTAGGTTGACACAATACCTTTTTTTTTTTTTTTTAATGTGGGGCTGAGGATTGAACCCAGTGCCTCACGCATGCTAGGCAAGTGCTCTACCTTTGAGCCACAACTCCAACCCAAGCTTCTGATGTTTTCTACTGGTTTCTTCCCAATGTCATTTTGGGAAGAATGAGAGAAAACCCATGGGACAAGCAGAGTAAGATCAGTTCTTTCCCAGAACTCTCAGACTCTGTTCACTGTGGCTGGAATCTCACACACGGCAGGGGAAATTCTTGCCATATGGCATCACCAAGCCAAAATTTATCATCTATTTTTAAGAGATTATAATTTCTGGAGACTTTTCCTGGCATATCCCCCAGATTCTTCTTCCTGATATATTTCTAGTTTATGAATCAAGTCTTTCATCCATTTATTTATCCAACAAGTATTTCTTTCCTTAGTAATTAGTCTAGCGTAGCTTTATTTTAGGCATTTAGGAAAAGATAGTAGTGGTCTATTCCCAATTCTGCAAGAGTTTAGTCTATTTGGGATAATAAGATAAAAAATAAAAAAAGATAGAAGGAAGGACACAAAGGGAAGAGAGAGGAGAAAGACCACATTGACAGTAGCCAAAACAGGTTATTTTGGGCCAAAATATGTTATTTTGGGCTGGGAGTATAGTTCAGTGGTAGAGTGCATACCTAGCATACATAAGGTCCTGGGTTCCATGCTCAGCATTGCAAAAAAAAAAAAAAAAGTTAAATTTAAAAAGCTATATGTGAAACTCATGAAAACTACAAAACTTTATTATGGGACATGAAACAGGATTACATAAATGGAGAGACTAACTGGGTTCCCAGAAGGGGAAGATTCAGTATTGAAACAACATCAAATATGTTGAAATTAATCTAAAATTCAATGTCCTCCGGTAAATATGCAATATGCCAACTAAAATTTTTTAAACTTGATGAGCTGATCATAAAAAACTAAAAACTATTGAGTAAGCTACACATGAGCCAAAAAGCTTTCTTTGAAGGGAAACAAACAGCAATCCCACTTCTGGGTGTGTATATATGTGTGTATATATGTATGTATACATATGTGTACGTGTATATTGACAATCTCTCTCTCATATATATACTAGAAGAGCCAAATTTGCACATGCTTGATTCTTCTTGAATTGGTATTGTCTTTTGCCATCACCTATGGACCTCAGACTCCAGATTCTTCAGTTTTGAACACAGACTGGTAATAGTGGCTCTTCAGGAAGCCTCCAGGCCTTCAGTCTTAGGCTGGGCTGCATCATTGGTCCCTCTGGTTCTAAGGCTCCAGATTCTTGGACTTGAATAGCTACTGGTATCCCTGGCTCTCCAGCCTATAGATGGCAATTGTAGGAAGATGCAGCCTCTGATGGTGTGAGCCAATCTAATAAATCCCCTCTTCTAATTATATATATTCTATTGTTTTTATTCCTCTGGAGAACCCTAATATACCTCCTAAATTTAAGACAATTATAGCAATGTGATGACTGACTGGAAAGGAAAAACAAACAGAAAAGAATAGCAAACTCATTTGAAAAAACAATAGGAAGCTTTGCACAGTGACAGAATCATTAGCCAATGAGGTTTATCTGAGGCAAGATTATTGCTAATTGAAAATGATTCCCCACACCCCACCATGATGGCTTGAAATACAGTCAGCATTGGCAATTTTGACAGTCTTTACAGAGACTGAACATAAACAAACAAAAGCAAAACTGGAAATTAATGCTAATTTTTTGGAAAAAAACTTACTTTGCAGTACTGGGAGTTAAACCAGGATCTTGAGCATGCTAGGTGAGCATTCTACCACTAAATTATATCCTCAGATTTAATGCTAACTTGTAATGATTTTTTTTAACATGCTGGATACCAACTTAATTTTTCACGATAGAACATGGTGATTTTAAAAATATATTTTGGATCCAAAAATTATAATGTTAACAAAACTCCTTTCATTCTCAACTACTTGTCTATGTAAATAAGATGTCCCAGCATTTCCAGCTATAAAAACAAAAATATTTTACATATCATGTTATATTCATTATATTTATAAAATTATATTATACATAATATTGTTAATTTGAACCTGTCTCAATATTGCAATCAGTAATCTTCATCCATAAAAATGAATAAACTACATCTAGTGCTGTCATTCAGATATGCATTTACAATTTTTTTTCTGGTATTGGGAATTAAACCTACAGTGTTTTACCCCTATCCTCCTCCTTCAGCCCTTCTTTAATTTTGTTTTGTTTTGAGGCAGGGTCTCACTGAGTTGCCCAGGCTGGCCTCAAATTTACAATCCTCCTGCCTTATTCTTCTGAGTAGTTGGAATTACAGGCCTGAGCCACAATGCCAGGCTGCAATTTTCTTTTTTATGTTTTAAGAATGACAAACTTGCCAGGCATGGATACCAAAGAATGACTGATAATTTCTCACAAATAGATTTTTTTTTTTCTATAATCCCAGCAACCCAGGGGGCTGAGGCAGGAACACTACAAGTTCAAAGCCAGCCTCAGCAACTCAGTGAGTCTCTTTGCAATTGTCTATAAATAAATAAATAAATAAATAAATAAAATACAAAATTGTAGCCAGGCATGGTGCACACTATAATTCCATTGGGAGGCTGAGGCAGGAGGATCCCAAGTTTGAAGCCAGCCTGGGCAATTTAGCCAGACATTGTCTCAAAATAAAAAATAACCATGGGGATGTAGCTCAGTGGCAGAGTGCCCTGCTGGGTTCAATCTTTAGTAATGCACAAATTTTTGAAAAATTATATTGTTATATTGATTAAAATTTTTACTACTAATAATTAAAATGATAGAAGATTTGAATATTTAGACCATTTATTAACCCAGGAAATAAATTAATTTAAATTTATTTACATATAAGTTACAGGTTACAGAGTATAATTGATGATTAGACTTCAACTGTAAAAAGTGTTTTACATTAAGATAAAACCATGTGGGAAAAGTAGAATAGAAATGTTAGTTCCAGGATCTGAAAGACTGATGCGAAATCTCTGGATGTTTAAAAAAAAAAAGCCTCAAATTATTAGGATATTTAGATTTCACTGGATACATTTTTTTTTTTAACAACAATGTAACATGGTTTGAGACCGAGTCTTTAGTTTGCTTAGGGCCTAACTAAGTTTCTGAGGCTGGCTTTGAACTTGCGATCCTCACATCTCAGCCTTCCATGCCCTCTAATATTTTTTAAATGAAATGTACATTAGCGACTGTTGGATCCAAATTACACCTTGATTAGAAAATAATTGGGAAATGTAGCTCAAGGAATAGTGTTTAAACCAGGCACAGTGGTATATGCCTCTAATCCCAGTTGCTTAGGAGAATTAGTTCAAGGAAGTCTTGGCAATTTAGCAAGATCTTGTCTCAAAAATTGGGGGTGCAGACATCCACTGTGGTACACACCTGTAATCCCAGTGGCTTGGGAGGCTGAGGCAGGAGAATTGTGAGTTCAAAGCCACCATTAGCAACTCAGAGAGGCCCCAAGGTACTTAGTATTTTATTAAAAATGGCTGGGGATGTGGCTCTGTGGTTAAGCGCCCATGGGTTCAATCCCTGGTACCAAAAATAAATAAATTTTTAAAATGGGGGTGCAGCTCAGGAACAGAGTGCTCCTGGGTTCAGTCCCCAAACCCACTGTATCCCAGAGCGGGAAGCAGGGTGGGGAGAGTGAGAGAGAAGAACAAGTGCTTAATTGAAGTATGGGCAAGTTAAGAAAGCACTTTGATAACCAGAGAGAGAGAGTTACATGAAAGTATCTCCTTTATACTAAATCTTGAAAGAGGAGTAGCTCAGGAGAGGCCAATTAATGCAAAAAGAGCTGAAAAAAGAAATCTTTGCCAGGATTACAACAGAAATGGAAATTTCAAACTGTTGCCCAGGTCATCACTTCAGAAAATGTGTTCTGTAAGAAGTAAGGATGCACAAGAAGGTTGACAGCTGTTCTGTGGAAAAAAATTTTGTTACTGACAATTTCATTTTTAAAAGGTATCCTTAAAAAAAAAAAATCTCTGTGTGAGAAATTACCAGTCACTTTTCGGTATCCATAGGGGATTGATTCCAGGACCCCCTTGAATATCAAAACCCAAGCCCAAGTCTCTTATATAAAATGCCATAATATTGGCATATAAACTACACAATCATACTTTACACTTTAAATTGACTCTATATTCCTTATAACTAACACAAAGTAAATGCCACATAACTATTCTACTGTATTATTTAGGAAACAATGACAAATAAAATAAGTCTGTACATAGTCAGAACAAAGGCGATTTTTTTCTAAATGTTTTTGATCCAAGGTTGGTTGAATCTGTGGGTGCAGAACCCATATATATGAAGGGTCGGCTTCATACTAATAAAATTGTACATGGGATTGTTCTGTAACAAGTGGCCTTGTGAGAGTATAGCACAATAATTAAGAGGATAGATTTTGGTGCCAGAGTGATGGGTTCAAATCAATGCTGGCTATATACTAGTAGTGCACAGTAAGTGCATGGGCAAAATGACACAACTGCTACCACTTTCTTCATGAGGTTGTTGCCAGGGTTAAGTGAAATACGTTATAAGGAAAATGCTTAGAAACATGGTCTGGGATATAGTAAGTGATATGGATGGACTTACGGGCCATACCTAAGAATGTCAGAGATGACTTGACATGGGGTGAGGGGCCTTTGATATTCAAGTCAGTGCATTGTCAGCTTAAATATTAATAATGGCCATGCTATGTTATTGTTCAACAAACATTAACTTGTTGGCTACTGGTTTGTCTTAATAAATGTGATGTGCCTTCTTTTAGAGTATATTACTATACTTTTTACTTTCACTAAAACGTTAATTAATGTATAAGGTTAAAAAACATATAAATCAAAATTCAATATTTTCAATTTTAGTGATTCTGCACCAAAAATTAGATCACATTGTGCTTAATCCAAGTACATCTCATAAACTCCTGTAATATTTTGTAAAGACAAAAACAATTTTGGAAAGGGTTAAATTTTTGGAAAATGCTGAACTGTACATGAAATGACTAAAATATTGACCAAAGGTACAAGACTGCCAAAATACCTGCATTAAACTTTTCCAGTTGGACTGTGGACTATTTAGGTGACCTTGTTATGCCATTAAAGATACCACTGATGACTATAGGTGAACATTTTTTTTTTGAGATGGTGTCTCATTATGTGTTGCTTAGGCTGTCCTTGAATTTGCAATCTCCTGCCTCAGCCTCCCAAGTAGCTAAGATTATAGGCATTTGCTATGATGTTCAGCCTATTTTATCAATTGAATATAACTTGACTACAGGGCTGGTCGACACTGTATTGGTGCTAATAGATTCACATTAACATTTTTTGGGATACCAGGATTATATTTAATACACTGCCAAGTAGGAATGTACTGGCATTCACTGTGGCGATAATATTAAGTGAGGGACTGAAAGTTTAGCCAATGCTTTGTATTTTTTGTCATTTCTGAATTTTATAAAAAGTTTAGCCTGCTACAATATTTAGCTCCTCTTTTCACCTTAAATAATGAATGGAATGTCAATTATTCTTGGAAGGAAAGCAAGCAGGAGGCAGAAAATAGTAATTTTTTAAACATTTTTGGGTTTGATGCATCAAAGAGAATCTAAAAATTATGGACTCTCTCCAAAAAACTACACATTTTTACAATACTTAGTATATTTCAGGGATGTGAGTAATGTTTCTCAAAGTATCATCCATGGACCATTTGCTTCCAAATTTCTCGAGGTTCTAGTTAAGTTCAGATTCGTGAGTCCTACTACTGGTTTGAAATCTCACCAGATCAGGCCCAGAAACAACAGCAACAACAATAATCATCATTATTATTTTTGCTGTGCTGGTGATGGAACTCAGGGCCTTACATATGTTAGGCAAGTACTCTGCCGCTGAGTTATACCCTTAACCCCAAAATAAAACTTTGAACAACATTCACTTTTTAAATTTTTTTTTTTTTTTTTTTTTTTAGTGCAGATAGACATAATACCTTTATTTTATTTATTTTTATGTGGTGCTGAGGATCAAACCTAGTGCTTCACACATTAGGGAAGCTCTCTACCACAGAGCCACAACCCCAGCACCAATATCAACATTTTTTTTTTTTTTTTTTGTACTAGGGATTGAACTCAGGGGCACTCAACCACTGAGCCATATTCCCAGCCCTATTTTGTATTATTATTTAGAGACAGGGTTTCACTGAATTGCTTAGTGCCTTGCTTTTTGCTGAGGCTGGCTTTGAACTTGTGATCCTCCTGCCCTAGCCTCCTGAGCCGCTGAAATTACAGGCATGCACCACTGTGCCTGGCCCTAACATGCACCTTTAAAATTAAAAAATAAACTTTTTTTTTAATAAAAGGAAAACACAAGAGAAATAAGCATATCCATGTATATCATTTTAAAAGTCAAACAGTACTAGAAGGCTTGTGGTTAAAACAAGTCTCTTATCCCTACTTTTCTCAACACCTAGTCTTATCCCTCAACTTCTTTAATTTCACTAATATTTTTCTCCATATATTAAAAAACATATATGCTATGTCCATTTTTCTTTCCTTGATTTTGGTGCTGGAGATTAAACCTGTGGCCTTGTACATTCTAGGCAACTGCTCTATCACTGAGCTAGATCTCAAGCTCCTTATACCACTGTTTGCTGATTTATCAACTTTAGTCCTTGTCTGTTGACTTCCTGGCATGGTGAAAAAACACTAAATATCTCTCCCCTAGCTCAACTTTGTTTTTCTTACCCTGAACCCTAATTATAATTTTTTGTTAAACCAATGGTCAATGGTAAGTCAATATCAATATTAATCAGAGTGAACTATGATGATTGCAACTTCTTTTCCTCCATGTTTTCATTTTTTTTGAAGTTAATAACTGCCTCATTTTCCCATTATTTTATCTACCTATTGTTAATGTTTTCCCAATGTTCCAGCATCTCTGCTATATACTGACCGATTTCATATATATACACATATATACATATATATATATATGTGTGTATATATATATATAAATATTTATTTAGTTGTAGTTGGATGCCATAACTTTATTTATTTTTATGTGGTGCTGGGGATCGAACCCAAGGCCTTGCATATGCTAGGCAAATGCTCTACCGCTGAGCCACAACCCCAGCCCAATTTCATATATATATTTTTTTAGTTGTAGATGGACACAATACCTTTATTTTATTTACTTTTATGTGGTGCTGAGGATTGAACCCAGTGCCTTATACATGCTAGGCAAATGCTCTGCCACTGAGCTACAACCCCAGCCCCCAATCCCATTTTTTTTTTTAATGCTGAAAACACTTTAACATTATTTATTTATTTTTAAATTTTTTCTGAGCTGCCTCTGGAGCCCTCTTTCTTCCTCCTCATTTCCGGTACTGTTGTTTCCTTGAAGTTCTGGGATATCCCCTCGTGCCACCTTAGGATTTTCCTTGCTACTTTTCTTGTTGTATCTTCTTTTCCACATCTTCCATGTTCTTTTTTTATTTCCTTATTTTGCTGAAGTAGTCCTTCCAGTTTCCTAAGAAAGAATGCACAGGAGGTATAACATTTGAGATCTTGTATATCTGAAAATGTATAATTTATGTGACTTGATTCACAGTTAGTTTGGTTAAGGATTCTAAGCTAAAAATAGTTTTCCCTCAGATTTTTTTTAGTTCTCTTTCTTTCTGTCTTTTTGGTCCTGGGGATAGAACCAGGATATGCTAAGCAAATGTTCTTTCATTGAATTATATCCCAGCCTTCCCTAATTTTTAAGGTTATGCTTTATTATTTTCTATCAAGGGTAACAATACTGATGCAATTTTGAGGGTTTTTTTCTGATCAGCTTTCTGTTTCTGTAGATTTTATAATTTTTTTCTTTGTCCAAGATGTTCTGAAACATGATGTGACTTGAAATGGTTTTGTTTAAAATTTTAAGATGAGCCTGTCAATAATGGGCACTCCTAGGCTGGGGTTGTGGCTTAGTGGCAGAGCACTTGCCTAGCATGTGTGAGGCACTGGGTTCGATCTTCAGCACCACATAAAAATAAATAAATAAAAAAAAGGCATTCTGTCCATCTACAACTCCAAAATAAAAGCACTCCTATCTTTGAGTCTGGGAAATTTCCTTCTATAATTTCCCTGATAATTTGCTCTCCTTATTTTTTTCTGATTGCTCTTCCTAAAATTCCTATTAATAAACACTAGGATTCTCTGACATTCTCATCTTTCCTCTTTTATTTTCTATCTTTCCACAACCTTATTTTTACCTTTTATTGAATATTTACAAGTGTAAATATTCACAGATTCCCCTTCATATTTTGAGATACTACACATTTGTGTTAGTCAACTTTCCATCACTATAATGAGATACTTGAAATGATTAATAGCTTGCTGTTGCTATTGGGGTGGTGGTGGAACTTTTAAAAGTAGGGCCTAGTAACAGATCTTCAGGTCATTAGGGGCATACCCTTGAAGGAAACAGTGGGACCCCGGTCCCTTCCTCTTGCTCTCTTTTGTTCTCTAGTCATGAGATAAGTGGTTCTGCTCTGCCACACATGTCCATTTTGCATCTGGCACCCCACCAGAGGTCTAAAGCAATGGGTCCACTTGATCTTGGACTGGAACCTCTAAAACCATGAGCCAAAATAACCTTTTCTATGTGGAGTATGATTTTTTAAAATTCACAAGTAGATGTGCCTGCAGTGAAGTTTTTCACTGCTGGCACATCTACCTGTGATATTTGGGCTCTGCTGTACCCCTTCTCTGAGAGGAGAACATTCACTTAATGCCCCTCTTTTGGTCCACTGAGGGAAAGCTGTCTAGCTGTGCAGTCTGAGTACAGAAACCTAGGGGCTAACTATTTCAAAGAGACTTGCAACCATCCCTCCTAATCTGAGCCTGTATCTGAACTAACTTTCAGGGGCAGCTGGTACCTCCCAAATGCTGAAGCTTTAATCTCCCAGGAGAACTGGCCTTCATCTTGAGATTTAGGTTTCAATCTCCTCTTCTCTGCTAAACTAATTACTATTCCTTCATTCACTGTCATCTTCCATATACTTCTTGTCCAAACACTTGTTGAAATCTCTACTCTCATACTCCCCATCCTTTGTTTTGTCATTATAGGTTAATGGGTTATTGTTTCTTTTATTTCTTTACTGACACTTTAATGAGTTTTGAAGGAAAAAAATTATTGTGTACAAGGGAGATTCTTGTGAGCAAATCACAATTCATAAGTGGAATTCCGAAGTAATTTTTTTTTTTTTTTGGTACTGGGGATTGCACTCAGTGATGGTCTACCACTGTGTTACATCTAAGCCCATTTTATTTTTTATTTTGAGACACAGTCTCACTAAGTTGCAGAGGTTGGCCTTGAACTTGCCATCCTCCCTAGTCATAACAACTATAGGCATGTAACACTATGCCTGGCTCCAGAGTAATTCTTATGCAACATATACTTGAGGGCTACCCGCTAATTAGAATACTGAATAACTAGTGACCATTTACACGAACTAGATAAATTTATGTGAAATGAATGATTTGCAAACCAACTATGATGTTTGGTGAACTACTGTCCTAGGGAAGGACAAATGAATAAGAAGAAGAAAGGAAAGAAGGAAGGTCACAAATTAATTGTAGCTATTTTTATCTATCTACACTGTGGGATAGATACATTTTTATATTCATCTTTGTACTTTTTCTTCATTTTCTAAATTTTATGCACTGTCCATGATTATTGTTGAGAGTATGGGAGAGAATTTCTGTACATCTCCCTAATATCTTACCTGTAGAGGTGACATACTGTCCACAGAATCTAAAACACATACATTGACTGGATAGGCTCTTATTGAAAGCTTAGACCAAAGTTAAACATTACAGAGGTATTATTAGGAAATAGGCAAATATTTCCTGAATCATAAACGACTAATCCTGAAAAGAAACTATGAAATAAAAGTTGGGGTTGGGAGTTGGAAGTGTCTTCCTTCCTTTTTCTTTCAGTGCTGGGGATTAAACCCACGACTTTGTACATGCTATGTAAGCATTCTATCACTGAGCTACACCATAGCCCTAAAATCCAGTGTTTTAAGGGACTAGAAAACAGAATCAGAGGAGTAACTAAAAATGGAGATAAAGGGAGTTAGCCAGTCGATGTGTAATCAGTGACATTAAATTGAGCAGTGAAAAATAAATAGGAGTTAACCAGACATAGTTGTGGGAAGGGGGTGTGGGTAGAAGTAAAAGCACATCACTGTGACTGGAAGATAGCCAGTGTGTGGGGTGGAGGGTGATGTGAGATATATTTGGGAGGTAGACAGTGACCTAATCATATAGGACTTTGCAGGCAACACTAAAAATTTTGGGTTTTACTAGGAGAATTACTAGGAGGTTTACTAGAAACCATTGAAATGTTTTAATCAAGGAAGTGACATGAAACAATTTACATTTTTGAAAGATCCCTATGGCAGTGGCAATGGGGCAAGGAAGTACCAATTATGGCTCTTGCCAAAGTCCCGGACATAATGGTAGCTTGAACTAAGGCGGTGGCAATGTACACAGAAAGAAATATTTGAAATTTAGAAGAGAAGGGTTAAGAGAGCTTCCTGTGTTTCTGTTTTAAACAAATATATAGAGGCAGATGTCATAGGGAAGATGTCAAGAGAAGCAGAATTTGGAACAAGTAAAGATCAAGAGTTCAGTGTGGGATGTTTGTAAGATATCCAAGCAGATATACCAAGTAGGGAGGTGATTATAAATATCGGGAAGAGATGTCAGATCCAGAGGTAAAAGATTATGTGTCATCAACAAATAGATGACATTTAAAGTCACAGAATGGGTGAGTTTATTTAGGGAGAGGGAGGATATAGATGAAAAGAGTAGAAGAGAGAGAAGGAAAGCCTTTAAGAATTTCCTATTTTTTTTTTTTTTTTTTAAGAATTTCCTATTTTAAAGAGAAGTACCTTCTGGAGGATGAGAGAGTAGTCTTTAAGTTTGGTTAAAATCAGAAGGAAGTCTGCATGCAGTACCAAAGAATGCAGGTTTCAAAAAGGAAGATATGATCAATTTGATTGCAAAGATGATAGGAAAATGTCCTTTGATTTCAGTACTGTGGGGGTCACTGATTACCACTGTAAATTATCAGGTAGATTAAACTCTGTTGCAAATGCCAGAGGGACAAATTTACCACGGATTAACCCATTAGGGTTCATTCAGTTCAATTTTAGATTTTGAATTTTATTTTTTCTGAGATGTTCTGGTTACAAGGATAACTATTTCATAACTTCTATTCTTTTTTACACTCACTTTTCAAAAAAAATAAATTTTGTTTTTTAAAAAAACTAAAACTCATTCTATCTTGCAATTGCCATAAAGGGTCCACTGGACCTTTTCTTATAGTCTCTTAGTGATTTTGATTTCCTCTAGTTTCATACAAATAAAACATTTTGATATATCATTATTGTAAGAATTATTTCCACATTACTCAACAATACTCCTAACTGTGCTAGAAAAGGCAAAAGGTATAGAATTTGTAATCACCTAGCAGGTAGATTCAATAGTGAAATAAATCATTCACTGTAAGATAATAATTTTCTTGGTTCACTACAATGTCTAAAATATTGCATTCTCTCTTTTTTGTGTGGGGGATGGGGGACTGGGGATTGAACTCAGGGGCACTCAACCATTGAGCCACATCCCCAACCCTATTTTGTATTTTATTTAGAGAGAGTCTCACTGAGTTGCTTAGCGCCCAGCTTTTGCTGAAGCTGGCTTTGAACTTGTAATCCTCCTGCCTTGGTCTCCTGAGCCGCTGGGACTGCATCATCATTTAAGGGAGTATTAAAAAAAAATCTGGAGATAGTATCTTTGCATTGTTTATTGTTGTTTTAATCTTTTATTAACCACTAATGAAATTCAGAGTTTTTCATTTGTCATCCCATATAGCAAAGAAAGGAAAATTGATAAAGAGAAACATTTCAAAATATTAGAAAAATTAGAAAATGAATGCAAAAAAAAAAAAAAAACCTCTAGATTTTAAGGATGATGGTGCAATGTATCATACAAGTGAATTCTTAGACTGTGAATTCACAAAGGACATTCTGGATGATTTTCTCAAGCTAAGAAAGATGACTCAACAACATGTATTTAAGTATTAAAAAAAAAAGTATGGAATTCTCATCCAGTTAGACATTTAATGGGAATGACTTTCTTATTCAATATTTTGCAACTAGAACCCAAGCCATTTTAAATTTTTTATTGTTGGCTGTTCAAAACATTACATAGTTCTTGATATATCATATTTCACCATTTGATTCAAGTGGGTTATGAGCTCCCATTTTTACCCCATATACAGATTGCAGAATCACATCAGTTACACATCCATTGATTTACATATTGCCATACTAGTGTCTGTTGTATTCTGCTGCCTTTCCTATCCTCTACTATCCCCCCTCCCCTCCCCTCCCCTCCCCTCTTCTCTCTCTGCCCCCTCTACTGACATTCGTTTGTCCCCCTTATATTATTTTTCCCCTTCCCCTCACTTCCTCTTGTATGTACTTTTGTATAACTCTGAGGGTCTCCTTCCATTTCCATGCATTTTCCCTTCTCTCTCCCTTTCCCTCCCACCTCTCATCCCTGTTTAATGTTAATCTTCTTCTCATGCTCTTCGACCCTACTCTGTTCTTAGTTACTCTCCTTATATCAAAGAAGACATTTGGCATTTGTTTTTTAGGGATTGGCTAGCTTCACTTAGCATAATCTGCTCTAATGCCATCCATTTCCCTGTAAATTCTATGATTTTGTCATTTTTTAATGCAGAGTAATACTCCATTGTGTATAAATGCCACTTTTTTTTTATCCATTCATCCATTGAAGGGCATCTAGGTTGAGAACCCAAGCCATTTTAAAAAGATGTGTGATGTACCTAAATCAATCGCTTTCATATACTCCAATAATTAATATGCTAAAAAAGAAATTGGGAGAAGTTCCCATTTGCAATAAACTCAAAATATTAATAAAATATTAATTTAACAAAGGATGTGATGAAGGACCCCTACAATGAAAACCACAGAACAATGAAGAAAGTAATTGAAGAAGACCTTAGAAGATGGAAAGACCATCCATGTTCTTGGAGAGGCAAAATTAGTATCAAAATGTCCATGTTGTCAGGTGTAGTGACGCATGCCTGTAAGCCCAGTGGCTCATGAGGATGAGGCAGAAGAATCTCAAGTTCAAAGCCAGCCTCAGCAAAAGCAAGTCTGCTAAGCAGCTCAGTGAGACCCTGTCTTTAAAGAAAATACAAAATAGGGCTGGGGATGTGGCTCAGTGGTTGAATGTCCCTGAGTTCAATCCCCAGTTTACCCCCCCATCACAGAAATGGCCATACTACCAAAAGTGTTATACAGATTCAATACAATTCCCATCAAAATACTAATGACATTCTTCACAGAAGTAGACAGAGCAGTTCTAAAATTCATTTGGAAAGATTAGAGACCTAGAATAATTAAAGCAATCCTGAGCAGAAAGTGTGATGCTAGAAGCAGAAGACCAGATCTGAAATTATAGTACAGAGCTATATTAATAAAAACAGCATGGCACTATCACTAAAACAGACATGAAAGACAAATGGAATAGAATAAAAGACACACACAAACTTATATAAATACAATTATCTTATACTAGACAAAGAAACCAAAACCATATGTTGGAGAAAAGATAGCCTCTTCAACTGGAAATCTACATGTAGAGGAATGAAACTTGACTCCTGTCTCTCATCTAGCACAAAAGTCTACTCAAAGTGGATCAAAGACCTAGGAATTAGACCCAAAACTCTGCAACTGCTAGAAGAAAATGTAGGCCCAATACTCCAACATGTTGGCATAGGAATCGACTTCCTTAAACAAGAATCCTAAAGCACAAGAAATTTAAAAAAAAAAAAATCAATAAATGGGATGACATCAAATTTAAAAGCTTCTGCACAGCAAAGGAAACAAGAGTGTGAAGACAGAACCCACAGAATGGGAGAAGATCTTTGCCACCTGCTTTTCAAATAGGGCATTAATATCCAGAATATATATGAAGAACTCAAAAAATTTAATACCAAAATACCAAATAACCCAATCAATAAATGGGCAAAAAAAGCTAAAAATTCATTTCTCGAAATAAATGCAAATCATCAACAAGTACATGAAAAAAATATTCAATATCTCTAGCAATTAGAAAAATGCAAATCAAAACTACATTGAGATTTCATCTTACTCCAGCCAGAATGGCAATTATCAAGAATACAAATAATACCAAGTGTTGGTGAGGATGTGGAGAAAAAGGTAAATTCATACACTGTTTGTGTGACTGCAAATTAGTGCAACCACTTTGAAAAGCAGTATGGAGATTTCTCAGAAATTTAGGAATGATATCACCATATGATCTGGGAAAAGTGGGGGAGGGGACATTTTATCAAAATAGAAGAAAGATCAGTAGAATAGATGAAGGGAACTGAGGGGTTGGGAGAAGGGATGGGATAAAGGAAGAAGAGTAGAATGAATCTTCCCTAACTTTCCTATGTACAAGTATGAATAGACCACAGTGAATCTCACCATCACAAGACACTAACTTAAAAAACAAAACAAAACAAAAAACAACTAAAAGTGCATAATAGATCAGTAGAGTAGAGAGAAGGGGAGGGATAAGGCGAAGGTAAGAGGAAATACTGGGGACTGAATTAGAGCAAATTATATTCCATGCTTTTATAATGAGTCCCAATGTTATATATAATTTAAAAGAACCAATAAAAAGAAAAAAAATGTGATATATGTTCTGCTATCTTTTGTGATCTCATGTATCAACATACTTTATAAAGTTTTCAAGGCAACAAATAATAAAGGAATATGCACATACATAGGTGAATGGAAGGAAACATCTGAGGTAGAGATGAAAAAAAATTCCATGAATTGCTAATTCTAATTTTTGTTTATAAACCTAAAAATGAAAATGTTTCGCAGTTAAGAAGCAAAGAATATGGCTATCCTGTCTTCAACAAAATGATGAATCATTGAAGTTTTCAAAAGCTTTGAGTTTTGTGTTTTTCAGGTACAAGAAACAAGATTAATTATGAACTAAAATTGTCAGAGATGTATTTGAAATGAATATGATAATTATGTTCCTGGCTCATATATGTTAATGGATAACTAGTTTTATTCAAACTGAAACTACCATTTATGGTACCTATTTCTTCAAATGTAGGAAAATATGGGATAAAAAAATGAGTTTGCTATGTTTAAATTAAAACTTATTAAATATCTTTTCAGTATTCTTTTATTCTTGCTTCTGTAAATGATTTGCAAAATAACTTAAAATATAAAAAAAATGGGGCTGGGTAATGTAGCTCAATGTTATGGCACTTGATTATCATGTGCAAGGTTCTGGGTTCAATCCCCAGCACTGTCAAAAAAAAAAGAAAGAAAGAAAAACTAAACAGGATCATTGGTGATGAGTTTTTTCCTCTGGCATACTGATAGATAAATAGATATAGGTTTATTTAACATAATAAGCAACAGAGAAAAACAGAACCAACGAACCTCTCAAAGATTCTTTTTTAGACTCAGATAATAAAAATTAACTCACCTAATTGGGAGAAGCAGCTTAGTATAGATGGACGGTGGATCAATAATGTCATTAAGGACCCAGCTTGATTATAATTCTCAGTTCTGCAATTTTCAGTTCTGGTTTCATCTATATATTTGTATCAAGACAGTTGCAGCAATGAATTTAGACATACAATATCCAAAGGAAGAAAAAAATATCTCTTAAAATTAAGGAAACTTTTTCTAGAATAACTCCTCCACCAGCTCCTTTTCCTCTTGCCTCCTTTGTCAGGAAGAAGGTGGTATAACACACCAGGGAGGCTACTGACAAAGTCCATGACAGTCTATCTGTGAAAGTCAAACTGAAACAACTTACAGAACATACACTAACAACTGTCACCTGGACTCAGAATAAACCTGGATACATGTCAGCCCTTTTAAGTCCTTTATTTTCATATTAATGTTATTCTGTCATCTCCAAGTTTTCAGAATATTATTACATTCCCTGTTCCTCTTTGACAGTTGCATACAGAGTCATATGATCAGTGCTGGAGACCAGGACTGTGACCAGTTTCAGCGACAGGCAGTGACCAATGAATGACAGACAAAAGACTGGGTTTTTGAAGAGGCCCTGAATAGCCAAAAAGAAAATTGATGAGACTGGGAAAGATGTCTAGGGCTGTATCTCCCAGAACTTTGTTGGCTAGGATTTTTGTACACTTGGAAAACTTAAAGCAGGTGGAATGACTAGAACTAGAATGAGGAAGAATGTGATGTTGAGAGGAAGCAAAGGAGAAAGAGGAGGGAGCAGAATCATTTCATATCCTTTTTTCTCCTTAACTTGAAGTCTTGTCCTTAATGGTTTGTTGCCTAGTCAAGACCATAACTAAGTTAATGGAGTAGACTATTTTGGATGATTTTTTTTTGAACCCAGGTGTGCTTAACCACTGAGCCACATCCTCAGCCCATTTTTTGTATTTTATTTAGAGACAGGGTGTCGCTGAGTTGCTTAGGTCTTCACTGAGTTGCTGAGGCTGCCTTTGAACTCTCAATTCTCCTTTCTTACCTGTCTCAGCCTCCAGAGCCACTGGGATTACAGGCCTGTGCTACTGCACCTGGCCCTCTTTTGGATGGTTGTATTGCATACTTGGACTGGGCTAGAACTGACAGTTCTTGACCACAGGGAACAAGGAAGACCTGTCAAGTTCTTTATGTAATTACAAAAGCTTCTAGGCTCATAGGGAGTACTTAGGTTTTAGTTACAATAATAAAGGGCATTTTCTGACCAAGGATGGGGTAAGAAAAGGAGATTTGTGGCCACCCCAGTGTGTTAAGTCACAGAGATGGAGCCAATACCTACCTTATAGGATTCTGATAAATAGTGCACCTTTATGAGGTGAAGACCCTTAGTAAACAGAACAAAGTTAAAATCCGGGCTCTGCTTACATTTAGTAGTGCAAAAGGATGACTGCTCCCCACTATGAATACCTAAAGCCACCACCTTAACAGTAAAAAATCTCAGAGAAAAAAACAATTTAAGTGTTAGTCTCTACCATCTTTCCCTTAGCTTTGTGAAACTGCAGCATTTTATTTTTCATACCTATTTATTCATAGCTATTTTCCAACCAAGGCCAGAAACCTACACAATTAAAGAGGGGTGGGGAATGCAAATTAAAATTAAACTTAGATCCTGAACATTTTTTTTTTTCCCTTGCTGGGGATCTAACTCAGAGCCTTGAGAATGCCAGGTCAGTGCTCTACGGTTCAGTTATACTTCCAGTCTCCTGATATTTTTGATTACTTATATTTATGGAAATACATTTGCCTTTTTGAGTCTTCAAGAGTCCTCAAAGGACTTGTTCAAAGGAATAAGTTGGAGAGCCCAGGAGGTAGGCTTGAGATTTTACTCACTTTTGCTCTATTATCCATCATCTGAAAAACTTTTTGAGTCCAAAGCTTATAAAACATAAAGAAGTTGCTTTAAATCTGGAAACGTCCTTCATCACAAAACATTAAATTCTCAGGGGAGCTGCGGTGGGACTGGACAGGAAAATGAACTCAAATACAATTCAGTCTTTCCCCAATCCAGATACTATGTGCAGTTATTAGTATAATTATATGCCTTTATTGTTAAATATAAATTAGGAAAGCAATTCCTCTATAAATTACCTTGGTTCTAAATCTATATAATATGCTCCACGCATTTTTAAAAAAGGGCTTAACATTTCACATGCAACTTTTTATATAATCATGGTATGTGGTGTGACCCAAGATGTCAAGCAGAACTAATGACATAAACTGCTTAAAATATATATTTTTTTTCTTTTTGGTTATTGAGGATTGAATACAGGGTGGTTTACCACTGAGCCACATCCCCAGCCCTTTTTTTTTTCATTTTGATTTTGAGACAGGGTCTCGCTAAGCTGCTTAGGGCAAACTGCTTAAATTTTAACGGAGAAATCTCTGGATGTGGAAGAAACCTGCCAATCAACACCTTGGGTGGCCATGGAAACAGCAAACTCAAGCACTAAGCCCTCTCCCCAGCAGTCGTCTTCTATAAAGGAGTCCTCGTACCTGCGCAGCGCGAGGACCCAAGTTCAGGGCTTTGTCTCGAAAGAACAAAGGTCGGCCAGCCGCCTTCTCACCGCGAGGCGAGACCCAAGGCTCCAAGGAGCCTCGTGCCCTCGTGGAGCCTCGAGCCCTGGTGGAACCGCGCCCCCGCCGTCACCGGCCCCAGCCCGGTCCCCTTTCCGCGCTGCCACGCCCCGCCCCACGCAAGGGGCCGCTGCTCGGGCCGCGCCTCCGTCTCCCGCCTCCGCCTCCCGCGGGGTTGCGTGCGCCCGGGGCGGGCGGCCGCCGGGCCAATGGCCGCCGCCGGGGCCGCCGCGCTCCTCCCGCGCCGCCGCGGGGCTGCGGACTCCTCCCGCAGGAGGTAACTGTCAGCGCGCGAGGCGGCGGGCCGGCCCAGTCATATGACCGGCCGCCGGCGTCCCCGGCGCGGAGCGCAGTTCCTTAGCCGCCGCAGCCCCGCCGCCGCCGCCGCTATGGCCCCGCCGCTGCGGCCGCCGCGCCTGGCTGCGCGCTGAGCCGCCGGCCCCGAGCGCGCGGCCGGAGCTGCAGCGGCGGCGGCAGCATCATGGCCCCAACCCTACTCCAGAAGCTCTTCAACAAAAGGGGCAGCGGCGGCAGCACAACGTCGGCGTCCGCCCAGGGCAGGGCTCCCAAGGAAGGACCCACCTTTAGGTAAGGGGCGCCGAGGGCGAGTCCCGCGCGGTACCCGCATCGGCTTTACGCTGGTCAGAGGGGCGGGAGCCGGGACGTCGCCGCCGTCGCCGGCTCCCGGCCCGGGGTTTGTCACCGTGCACGCGCCCGCGCGGAGTGCTGCCCGGGACCCTCTGACCTGAGGGTCTCTTCCTCCCTACCTTCCTCCCTCCCTCTCCACCACTCAGGGTCCTTCCCGGTTGGGAAGAGTTACGCGTGTTCTCGGGGTCCCGGGCGTGCACAGGGCTCTGCTCTGAGAGATTGGCGGTGGTTGAGGTGAACCCCTTCCGGGCACAGCCGCCTGGAGCCTCTGCGGGCCCTGCAAAGCTGTGAGCTGTCATTTTGAGGGCAGCACCAGCCTATTGTGTGCGTGACAGTATTTTGAAGTTGTGAAGGAGCAACAGCCACTAAAAAGGCATCTTTCTTCTTTCTTGCCATATATGACAAGCTCTCCAACGGATGAATGAAAGTATGTAATTTCCACATCATTTGGAACGTTGATGCCGCATGATGTGTGAAAAGGGGGAGTGAAATGCTTTTATGAAATGTACGAGATTTCAGTTTAACAAAGCTGATGCATATACTTAATAGATTCAATATTCTGGATACATATCTTTGAATAATCATTTATTGAGCGTTTACTCTTTTAAATGATTTGTGTTGAGTTCTCTCCTTCTCTAAGGACGCCGTGAGAAGGATGCTATTTATTCCCATTTTACAGGCAAGAAACCTAAAGTCATAGAGAGCTTAAGCAGCTTTCTCAAGAACCACAGCAGTAAGTGGCAGAACCTGCGTTTTTATCTAAGCAGTTTAATCAGGAGTAAATTTCCCATACTATTCTGCCCTTGAAAAGGGCTAAGTTATTTTTAAAAATGTCCCATATTGCCTTTCAGAACCCTTATGTTGAGAAGTTTATTTATTTATAAAAGATTTCAAGCAATTTTTTTCTTTTTCTTTTTTTTTAGTGAGCATCCACTCCCAATTATGACACTCTGACAGGTGCTTTTGGCCAAAATGTCTTGCAAAATGTTTTGCAAAAGCAAGACTATTGTTTAATAGATCTAGACCCAGTACAATAAACCTTTTAAAAGTTTCAGGTGAAACTTTGAAATGAATTTTGGATTAAGTTTTATGCTTTGTGTAAAACTTTTCTTGAATTCCACTTAAAAACCCACAGTCCCTCACTGTAGTTATGTGAGAATTAAATAACTAGTATTTTTTGTGAGGTGTGTGTGGTGTTTGAAAGGTAAATTGTAAGAACTGCCCCTTTTGTTTTGTCTACTATAGTTAAAGTCTCATATTTCCTTTAGGCTAACTGAATCCTTATAATTTGAGCAGGGAATTTTCTGCCTTGTACTACTCTGAGCACTAGTGATGCCATGTACCTTCTCAGAATGGTAGAATTACTTCAGAACCAGGGTGTGTAATTTCTTCCTCTCCTTCTCAGTAACCCAGATTGGATCAAGGGTACAAAGCCTGTAGGAAAAGGGGCATGTGTGTTACAGGTGTCTTGCTGAGGGCATTTAAAGGCATTGTAAATGCCGACGGAGATAGTGGAGTTGTGTTGTCATTATTTTCTCTGTTGGCTGCTCAGTTGCCTACCACCACTTCCTCCATCTCTAAGTTTAATTGGGCGTATTTTAAACAAAAACAATTGTGGTTATATTTAGGGCTTGCCATATTAGGGAAATTGATTCCCACTTTGTGGGAACATTTTCAGTACAGTGTTCTGACTTTTCATTGGTGTAAAATGAAGGATAAAAAAATTGTGCCACAGACTGCGGGTTTTTTTTTTTTTTTTTTTTTTTTTCCTTGACCTCATTAGGATTTTCTGTAAGATTTTGAGTAAGTGTTTTTGGAGAATTTGGGGATCTCTGTTGAATACCTCACTTGATGAAGGCCTCCTTTTAGTACTATCCTTGATTAGGGATAATCAATGGAAAAGAAGGTGAAGTAGCAGATATCAGCAAAGATGCAGGAAGTTGGGGAGAGTCTACCAGTGCTCACCAGATTAATAAGATTAATAATGGACATCTGAACAAATCTTTCCTTCACCTGGCCTAACTCTTTAAGATGTTGGGTTGCCCTCTGGGAAAAGCTTCCCAGAGAATTTCCCTCTCCTTACCTAAAAAATAATGATCCTGAGTTTACTTTTATATTGATTTTACTAAACAGGAGCTGGTGTGTGCTTTTCAGGGAAGTGGGTGCCTCATACAGGGAATTAATTGCCCTTGAGAGTGTACCTCATATTTGAGTAGACAGAAGTTAAGGCACAACCTATAGATGAAAAGTTAAGCATTCCTAGTGTGAATTTGTATACTTTATACATTTAAACACAGGTGTAACATTTAGATCTAGAGAATGAAAGGTCCTCTTATAATTTTGTAGGGCAGTTTTATAGCATATTTTTGGGGAAATTCTAAACAAAAGTAAGATCTAACTTTTTATGTTTTTTAATTTTTGTTGGAGAGTTTGTGGAAACCTTTTCTGTCTAATGTCTGTAATGGACTTTCACTCGTTATCTTAAACTTTCCCTCAGAATTGATTTGCCCTTGACGTTTGTTTACTTTGGTGTACTTCCTAGTTCCTTCTCTGGATTTCTTATTGTTCTCTTGTTCCTCCAGTTTTCACATACTATATTAGAGTGGAAATTTGTTGTCTAATATGTAGCTTGTATCACATGTCATTTTCAGCTCTTCATGCTTCCTGGCATTTCACCTAGAAAGAGGATCAATAGAGTCACTGTTCCTTCTTGTTTGTTTTGTTCAGGATGAGCCCTTTAGATAGCTTCCAGGAAACAGGTTGTTAGAAAAATTTAAAAAAAAATCAAAGGAGATTGAATTTACCCATTTAAGAGAGGTAGACAGGAATATGATATGAATATGGTATTTTTGAAGTTTAAATTCTGTCTTTGAAATTTAAGGGAGTTTTCTCTGCTGCTATTCAGAATGCTTTTCACTTTTAATTAGTTGATATACAAGTTTGGACTTGAATAATGCTTTGTTTCATAATGATAAATTAGGACAAAAAATTGACTTGTATAGTGGCTCAAGTCAGAAATGGAAGTGGGCTCTTGATTACCTTGGATTTAAGACCAGGTTTACATGGGATTTTATAAAAGCAAAAATATGTCCAGTGACTTACACATCTGGTTCAAGTTTGAAGGATTAGCTTAAGGTGCTTTGTTTAATTTTTTTCGATGTCTCTGGTGAGTTAATGGACCAGCTTCCACCTAAAATGTGCATGTAACAGGGAGGTGAAAAATATCTGGCTGTCAAATGTTTTATTGTGGACCAGTTAAATGAAGTGAGTAGGCATGAATATCTCCTGGGATGTGGGGAGTGAATAAAAGCATTGAAGCTGCTTGGTAGTTAGCTGTGTAAATTCCAGAGTAAACTCCACTCCTCTTTCCCTAGTCTTGAGGACCTCCAGCCAAATGGCCTAGTTATTGCTAATCCCCATTGTTCTGTTAGAACAATTTAAAGTAATCTGTTATAGGGTTAGTATGAATATAATATAATCTGCTTATCATTGTTATCAAATAGCAGCTGATGTCTTGTGTTATGCCTTGGTACTCCACCTGTACAAATCCAGGTAGGACACCCATGGTTGCACCTACTGGAATTTACAATCCATGGGACAATAGATGAATAAACAACAGACAATACCTTGGAAACTATAACATGCATAAAAGTCAAACAGTTGATAGAGAAAAATTTTTACATTTACTTGCTGATCTTGTACTTGCATGGCTGAGGGCAGGACTGTACTTTCTGCCCACTGCCAGGTCCCAAGATGCAAACATTTCTAATAAGATTTTTCTGAGGCAGGATGAAGAATATTCTGGAGAAAACCATGATTTTTTTCAGTACACTAAATTTTTTTAAAAAAATATTGTTTTAGTTGTTGATAGACCTTTATTTTATTTATTAATATGTGGTGTTCAGAATCGAACCCAGTGCCTCACACATGCTAGGCAAGTACGCTACCGCTGAGCCCCAGCCCGAGCCCTATGGTCAAATTTTTAATGCCCTTAAGATGTGTGGCACATGAATAGTAGCTTTGATTTTTCTTTTTTTTTAAGTACTTTCTAAAAGTCTTTCTGGAGAGGTATTGCCTGTGCTTTGGATCTCCTCGAACACTTTTTTACATTATATCTCCTTGTCCTGAATACCAGCATACACCATGGGGGCTTATACTAATGATTTCTAGCAGAGGTGCAAAAGGGAGTTGTAGGTTCTGTTAAAAGCCCGAGGCAAACAGATTAAGGAGGCCATTGAGTTCTACTTCATGCACCATGTTGATATGAGTTTCAACAAAACTACATTTCCCTGGTCCTCAAGTTCTGCCATTTGTAAAGTGATATCACCAGTCTTATGTAATACAGTTGTGCTGAGGAGGCAGTTTAAACATCCTTTAAAAAGAATAAAATGTGGTACAAAATGATTTTAAGTATTACCAACTCCTTTTAGGTTATGAAGTTTTGTAATACTCCTGTTGAGGTTT